AGTCGACGAGCTCGAACGGGAATAAAGGACACCGTATAATATATACATATAAAGAGCAGCGGGTGCGGATTTTCTTACGAGCCGCGATAAATCTTTTGCAGCGCCGCGTTCGCGCGGTCTCGACAACTTTCGGCTAAAGAAGACGATCGGAGAGGAAGCTGATTCTTGAAAATTTAAGTTTTGCATACTTTTCATGGAGGGTAGAAAGTTTTAAAGGTGCAGGTGCGACAAAATAAATGTCCGAGGTGCAGGTACTTTTGTTTACAACAAAAAAAAAAAAATAAAATAAAATAAAACAAGCTCACGTCTCAGCAAACAGTATACACATTGTTGGGGATTCGTTAACACGTTGTGTATGGCTTGGGAGGGAAACGACCGACTTTCCTCTTATTTTTTTCTTCGCGTGTACTATATTCTTTTATTATTACACAATGATGCGATTATTCATTCGACGAGAGCATGTTGTGGGTTTTGAATACGAAAAATTTCTTTTTTTTTTCTTTTTTTTTTAATGCTCAAAAACTTGTATCTCTACAGACAAGTTGTGGGAAATTTTCGCTTGTATTGAATTAGATAGGTTCCCATCGATTTTGCTGGATTACTAAATAATCATATTAATCACATCGTCACGAATTGCGTGAATGATTACAAAATATCGTACGGATGGATTTCAAACTAAATAATTTTGAAACAAAATAATTTTTCCTAAATGACAAAAACCAAAACTTAAATCGCGTAGGACAGTACACACATGACTGTAGCAGCTTGATTTGTGTAATGAATTTTGCAATTGCCAGTGTAAGGGGGCGATCGTGACGGCGGAAAAAAAAAGATGTCATGAATGTTTATAAAAACTAAAACCTCAGCATAATGTGGTTTTTTTTTTCAATAATGTAAGTATATATCTCGAGAAATATTGTTTAAAATCGCAAGACAAGTGCTTTATAACAGTTTTAGGTAAAATGAAAATGCGTTGTTAAAATTTTTTTTCAATTTCATGTTCTTAAATTCTCTGAGAAAAGCATTAAAGAGTCACACGTGAAATTTATAAAATGAAATTCATCAAAAGTCGACTAGAAAATTATTTGTATTTGCTAAAACGATTCTTCGTGTTTTGTTACCTTGCGTCGTTTGAACGACCGATAAAACACTAGTGTGCCGATAACTTGACCATCTGATGATATATTGACCATTATCCAAAAGCTTTCAACTTTATCAACAGGAGTTCTGAATTATCGACACATTGTTACCAGCTTAGGAAAATGAAAATCCAAAAATCACCGCACACATCCTGCAACAACAGCTAGGGAGATTCATATGCCTGCACGGATTTCCGGTAAGGCACGACTCGACTCCCTCCAAAAGTGTCAAGTGGTTGGCAGTAGTGGATCCCCGGTTAAAGTTATCGTCCTCTCTCTTCAGTCTCCACGGCCCACGACCGTTTCATTCGTATGTTTAATTTTATATACATATAACGACAATATACTTTAGATATAATATATACATATGTATATATATATTATACGCACACGACCATAAAATGGCTGTCAGTCGTCAGGCTCAATAGAGTTTCCAAGAATACGCCCTCGTTAAAGTACTCTTGGAACTTACGGCTTAAGCCGGTCGAGTCACTTGATTTGACAGGCTTGACACGGCAAAGCTTGCATGTATATTATTTAGGTTGTACACTTACAAACTACAAACAGTAATACAGGACGTTGGTGATGTGTGCCCGGTACCGTGATCTCTTTCTCTCTCTCTCTCGTACACATTGGCCACGCGGCGCGGCGGCGCAGCCGCGCACCAACACGCCTAGAAAGAAGACGGAACTACTATCTCCCTGTGCGAGAGGCGGTTGCGTTTGCGTACATCAAGCAATATCAGCATTATCAGAAAGTAGCATATACAAGCAAGAAGCAGCCATGATGTCAGTGTGTGCGCCTGCGGTATAGGTAGGCATACATATAGATATACAGGTACCAATAATAACCAGTTTTCCTTCTCTCTCGAGCTCACGAGAGAAATCCAGCTCTGTTAGTGTAGCAAGGGTACAAAATGGGTGGTGAAAGGAAAGCCAGCGGACGAAGCGAGCTGTGAGAGTATAGCCGCGTATAATGGCGCAGCGGTGTGGTAGTGTAGGTTCGACACAAAGAGAGAGAGAGAGAGAGTAGTCAACTAGTCAGCAGCAGCAACATCAAGAGAGTAGGTGGTAGGTAGGTGTTGTACGTGGAGGTGGAGGAGGCCATAGCGTTGTGTGCGCCGCCACTACACCTTCTTTGTGAAGCGGCCGTAGCTGTAGCCGTCGTCGTCGTCGTCGTCGTCGTCGTCGTCGACATCGACATCGTCATCTACAACGTCGGTGTTGCGAGAGAGTTGCGCGCGTGTACGCGCACTTGTATATATATATGCTAACTTGCGCACGAGAGAGAAACACACAACTCGGTCGCATTACACGTACCTACGTACGTACGGTCGTGCTCGGCCGTGTGAGAGTGCGGCTAAAGACACAGTGGTGTAGCGAGAGAGCAAGTGTGTTGTATATTTGTAGCTCTTCGCTAGCTAAACTCTGGCTGGCTCTGCTCGGCAAGTGCGTGGTGGTGTGTTGTTGTGCTTAGGGCACGAGGTGGCCAGCCGCGGGGCCCGCCGGACGACGCGCGTCCATGTGCGTTGTTTAGCGTGCCTGCAGCTAGTGCAGCCGCCTTTTTTCATGGCTGGAGGTGAAACGAGAGGCCTGCACCAAGGCAGAAAGGAGGTGGGACTACCGAGAGTCCAGGCCCGCAGTCGTGCTGAAATAAATAAATAAACATTGGTGCTGGCCTCAACTGACCCGAGAGTTGTTAGTCAAGTACCGGGGACTCTAGGCACGCCACCCGTTTCTGGGCGGACAAACACACACACACACACACTCGTACGGATCGTTGCGAAACTTATTGCTAAGGGATTTTGGGAGGAAACCGGCATTGGCGCCAAACGGGCACGCATTAAAGTTTGCCTTATAGAAGCGCCGGAGGTAGGCTTTCCTGCGGTGGATCAACGTGGCCCTGCAAAGCAGCGGCTACGATTTCGGGGTTTGCTTTTTTTATATTTTTTTTCTCTCCCGTGCTATCGCGATCGGCGGATCTGCGCAAGGAACCTCCCCCTCGACCTCACCGCCAGAGCCTCTCCGGTCCTCCGCGAGGGACCCGAAAGACAAGTCTCCTTAGTGAGTATATACAGAAAATTGGCTGTCTTTTTCTTTCTCTCTCTCTCTCTCTCTCTCTCTCTCTCTCTCTCTCTCTNCTCTCTCTCTCTCTCTCTCTCTCTCTCTCTCTCTCTCTCTCTCTCTCTTTTGTCGCTGCTATAGCCAATATTGGGACACGAAAGACAACACACAGCGGGCGACGAGGCACAGCGGCAACGAGAATTTTACCGGAGCTCGCGCTTGCGCACGTTAATATCGGCTCGCGCGCGCGAGAGCTAGCCGGAGCGGCCTGTCTGCTCTCTGTCTGTCTCCTTCTTTTCCTTTCCCCTCGTGCAGCTCGTGCTGCTTCCTCTTTTCACTTTCGTTCCAAAGCCGCGAGCGCGCCGCGCCGCCGCATAGAGCTGCTTCGCCAGGAGGTGTAGAGAGATCAAGAATAAAAAAAGAAAAAAGAGTGAGTTGTGTGTTGTGTTTTTTAAGGTTACCCGTCGGGCGACGCCGAGCACGAGTAGTCTGGAGTACCGCCTAGCCTCGTAAGCCAAGGCTCCGGATTCCAACCTGGCAACCGTGCAAGCTTCACCTGGGGCGAGACGTGCGTCTAAAGTTGGCTTGAAAATATCTGGCGCGTGGCCTTTTCTGACGCGCGCACAACGGACGGCACGGGACGTCGGAGTGTGGGCCATCGCAGATAATGAACTTCGCCGTTGACGCGCCAGGGCCACCAGACCAAGCAGCACCGACAACGAGGAGCAACAACAGCAGACAGAAGCAGCAGAACAAACTGCGCTATCATTGCGATTCTGGAGCGTGACAGCACCGGTTTTGCTCTGGAGCCGTACAAGCTTTTCCCCGCTGACCAGTTCGTCATCGTGGAGCAGGTGGTTGGCCCGGAAGATGTGTTGACTACGGATAGCGGCGAGGAGCCCAGCGTTACGACAGCTAGTAGTCAGGCCAACGCCTCGATCACCACTTTGACGAACATGTGCACCACACCCGGGAATACCGGCACCGGGTTTGGCTACGCATGGTCATTTAGCGGACCCGGCAGCGAAAGCCGGGAACCCACACCCTCCGAGAACAATATTGCCGGTACCATCAGCTATGCCGCGGTCAACAACAACCAAGACCAGACGAACAGCCCCAAGATCCAAATTGACATCAAATCCGCCAAACAGCAACAACAGCAGCAGCAGCACCAGCAGAACAGCTCGGGTGGAAGTGCGGCTCACGCCCGGAGGACGACCATGTTCGCTATGAGCGACGCCGCGTGCCAGCAGCAAGCCACCCCGACGACCACGAGCCACCACGGTCATTCAACAACGGTCAGCAGTCACAATCAGACTGCCGCTCACGTGACGCACGTGCGCACAAAGAAGCACGGTCACGAGGTCTTCGCGCTAACCACGGCGCCGACCTGCGACAAGCACAACTGCAACTGCGACGCTCACCACACTGCCGGTGCCCCGGCTTCCATATTTCCAAACACCCTGGTATTTGCCACTGACAAGCACGCGATGAGCAAACACTTCATGACGCCCCTCGGACCGCTTCAGCTTACCGCCGAGGAGTGCAACGAGATCTTGATGAAGCGCGCCCAGGCAGCAACCGGCACGAGTTCCAACAACGTGCCGGGCAATCAAAGCGACACCGGGGCACACTTTGGTCACGTTCTCACCCACGTCAACACCAGTCCGATCGATTCGAAAGTCAAGACCCAGCAAGACATCGCCTCTCAGGCGCGTGTCCCAAAAGAGCGACCGTACTCGTGCACCGAGTGCGGCAAGTCCTTTTTGTTGAAGCACCACCTTACCACCCACGCGAGAGTCCATACCGGCGAGCGGCCCCACATCTGCGTGCATTGCGGCAAGAGCTTTGCGCACAAACATTGTCTGCACACTCACCTGCTGTTACACAGCGCTGACAGGCCCTTCCAGTGTCGGGAGTGCAAAAAATCCTTCACCCTCAAGCACCATCTGGTCACACACACCAGAGTCCACACCAGGGAGCGTCCCTTCATCTGTCCCGAGTGCGGCAAGGCTTTTCCTCTGAAGCGTCATTTGGTGACGCACAGCAAGTTCCACACCGGTGAAAGGCCATTTGTTTGTGAAGAATGTGGCGAATCATTTGCCCAGAAGGAACACTTGACCATGCATTCACGCTTCCACGGTAGTTTGCATCCGTTCGTCTGTCCCGACTGTGGCATGAGTTTCCAGAGGAAGTTCGAACTGGTCAATCACGGCCGCCTCCACGGCAGGATACCTCACTCTTGTACAGTCTGTGGCAAGGAATTCCTGCAAAAAAGGACTCTGATGGCTCACACGCGCCTACATACCGGCGAAACGCCTTTCGCGTGCACGGTTTGCGGAGAAGCCTTCTCTAGAAAACCTGACTTGATAGCCCACTCCAAGATACACAATAGCAGTAATCCTGATTCAGATATTAAACCATTTACATGCCGGTAATTATTCACCCGTTTTCACATTAGATATATTTCTTTTTTTGTTCCATGCTTACAGTTGGATTAATACGCTTTGTGTATTAAATTGCAGGGAATGTGGATTGGAATTTACAAACAAGGAGGCTCAAACTTTGCATTTAAGGTTACATTCGGCGGATAGAACACTTGTTACTGACCTTTGTGGTCTTGCTGCGTCATTTCAACAGTCGGGACATTTTCTCACAAACACTTCTGTTGCACATCAGGTAAATAGACGCTTTGTCAGTCACGACAAGACCTCGTGTCATGTATTAGCAACACCAGCCTCATGCTTTTATCATCTAAAATATTCCTTCGGTTAGGTGACAGAATTCAATGGTGGAAAATGGTAGTAAATTAATAGTTTTTTTTAATTGAATTTTAAAAGCTTCCAAAATAAATAGAAATCCTTATCAAGTCTTGTATTTCTAACTATTCAGTGGTTTTGGTGAAAACTGTTTAAAGATCATTAAATAGTAATAATGTAGGAGCATTGGTATTACAATGATTTTTGACAAAAAATTTCCTTTCCAGATAAATGGTCCGCTAGGATCAGTCATTAGCCATATGCACGGTGCCACCCAGACCTCTCCACCGGTTGGCTCGGGACCTAAGCCTAGGCCCCACCTTTGTCCCGACTGCGGGCGTGGCTTTGCCCAAAAGCACGGCCTCTCGCAGCACCAGCGTCGACACACGGATGGTAGCTGTCACATCAGGTCGCATGTTTGCGACAAGTGTGGCAAAGCCTTTTTCCAAAAGAACCATCTGCTACTTCACCAGCGCCAGCACATGGACCCGCCGCCTAGTATACTGCGTCAGCAGCAGCGCCAAGCAGCTCAGGCAGCTGCTCAAGCGGCCCAGAACGCTGCCAACGGCGGCGGTACCCAGGTAATCACTGTTGACAACTGTCAAGTCGACACCAAGATAGCGCTGCAAGTGATACAGCAGCAAGTTCAGGCGCAACAGCAAGCTGCCGCTCAGCAGCAAGCTTCCCAGCAACAGGCTGCTCAACAACAAGCAGCTGCCCAACAGCAAGCTAGCCAACAACAACAAGCCAGCCAGCAACAGCAAACAAGTCAGCAGCAGCAGCAAGCGCAACAACAGCAACAGCAAACATGTGTTGATACTAAAGCAATACAGTTAAACGTCACCATGTGAGACGCTTTCGCGAATTATGATCGATCGTTAGCCAATCGAGTTCGAGTTCTCGTTAGCGCACCCACGCCGGCTGCCACCGCCGAACCCTCTGCACGTGCCGCACTTTTCTTGTACTAACAGTAACGCAATAGATATATTTATTATCTTTAGAGATTTTCCAAGTATAAGGTAATCAATTTTATTACAAGACAAGAGTATATACAGACTTGAGAGACAATGGGAATAAATTGAATAAAAAAGTTTAACAAATTATACATAAGTAAGTAAGGCTTGTAACAAGGAAGTAAAAGTAACCGTATATTAATGTTTTACATATACTTTACATATATTACCTATAAATATGTACTTTAGATAAGTATGAAAGGTGAAAGAATGACAAGGTTTGATGAGTTAAAAAAATAAACGGCTTATAAACTAACTCAACTCAACTACTGCATTACAAAGGTTTTTCCTCACATTGAGATAAAAGTTTTTTTCTTCGTGCACTTTAAGAATATCGGTTATAATTTTCCACCTTTAAAAAGCTCTACTGAAAATCTTTTGTTCAATTGAAACTTACCACGTTGTAGATGATGGAAAGTATTAAAGAATCGTGTGAGTAACTGAAAAAGAAAAGAGACTTCTAATGCGCGTGCTTATTCGTTTTTAAAAATTACAACCAGAGTTATTCACAAGATTTTTTCGTACTTTATTTTCTACTACGTGATGAGTTTGAATAAGTTTAAATAATTTTTTTAACCTCTCTCTCTCTCTTTGAGAGGTATTA